AAAAAAAAAAAAAAAAAAAAAAAAAAAAAAAAAAAAAAAAAAAAAAAAAAAAAAAAAAAAAAAAAAAAAAATTAAAAGGTCAAAAAATATTCTGTTCTTATTGAATGAAAGAAAAAACATGAAAACATTTTAAAAATAAATAAATAAGAAAAGATACAATTTCCCTCGAAAATATTATTTTACAACCGAATAATTTTGCAATTGCTATGTGGTTCACTCTATTCCCTCCAAAGAAAGAAAAACTAATATAATATTTATATTATTAATAAAATAGAATCACATAAATAAATGATTATTTTAATCATCTTCATCAATCGCAAATCGTCGATATTTATCTTCTGGGTTACCAACTCCTTCATAACTTCTTTGGACTACAAAATAATAATAAATATATAAATTCAAAATTGAATCAATGAAAATCAGAGTTTTTTTTTTTTTTTTTTTTTTTTTAGAATATTAACACTTACAATGTTCTTTCAACCCATTATCTGAAAAAATCAAATTATAAATAAGTAAGAAAATAATTAATAAAAAAAATTAAAAACAAAAAAAATTCAACATACCGAAATTATTATAGGCCAAATATGCAATAAATAATGATAATACGATCAAAGCAATACCGAGGATATCCTAGTTAAATAAATAAATAAATAAATAATTAATTAATTAGAATATATAACAATAATTTTAAGATATTAATATGAATTAATTAAAGATGAATTAATTACCAAGAATGTCAGTAAACTTTCATCACGTTTGATGATAAACGTGGCCAATATGTAAAGAAAATTAACTACTGTTGCAATCGAAAGAGTGGCATAAACAAACATTGCAGGTTTATTTTCTGATCGTACCTATTTTAAAAAAGTATGATAAATAATTATTAGAATTTAGAATGTGTAAAAAAAAAAAAAGAAAAGAAAATAGATAATAACAATTATAAAGATGAAAGGAAAAACATACACCCCACAATCCTATCCCTAATGTTGGTATAACAATAGCAATACAAACGCTTTGAAAAACTATAGTGTGAGTATAGCGAGTAGGGTCGCCGAACAAGAATACCAAATTAAGAATTTGGAAACCCAATAAGAGAAAGACATCTAATTTCATTAGCAAGACAAATACTAATAAAAATTAATAGTTAGAATTCATGGTTAGTAATTTCTAAAAATTGGAATAACTTGAAATTAATTTCTAATAATTTTAAAATATAAACGTACTAAGATATGTCCTGTACATAGCTAAATTACGATAATTTAAGGAATTAACGATAGTTAGGTTAGTGATACACGTAACATAGTAGTATAAAATAATTAATTAATTAAAAAATGTATATTACATTGAGTATGAATGTCAGCACCAATTTTCTTATAGATTTTCCAACCAAATTGTCCATATAATTTATAACCAAAGAATATTGATGCAGCAGCGAAAAAAGTCAAAAAAGCAAGTTGAACAAGTTCAGCATATACAACAGATTGTTGTAATTGACCTTGACTAGTAGGAAAATTAGCAATTTCAGCAGAATCAAGTTGAATTTGAAAGTTGATACGTTTTATCCATTTGAAGCTTTGAAAGACTTGTATACATGAAAACAATAGTAAGCAAATATTTATAATTCCTATGGACATTATCTCTATAGTATTCTACAAATAAAAGTTGAGTATTAGTAATTAATAATTATAAAAAGTAATATTAATTATAAAATAATTATAAAATAATTATTAAATAATTATTAAATAATTATTAAATAATTATTAAATAATTATAAAATAATTATAAAAGGTAATTATAAACAAGTTATTACTTGGAAATATAACTAAAGATATAAATAGAATGTCAGTTTTTTTTTTTTTTTGATATTAAAACGAGCAAACAATATGGCGCATTATAAATTCAGATCATTCTAAGGAAATATAATTACCGAAGAAACACACAAAGCTGTGAGAAAAGCCTCAAACACCATGAACCAAATATTTCCATCTATAATTGAATTATATTGAGCAAGATAATTTGCATATGTATAATTCATATAACTAAAATTTTTTGGAGGATTCTGGTGATATTGATTAAGGTTGCTTAAATTTTGAGCAGTTTCTCCATTTAGCCGTAGAACAACAGCTTCTATTATCATAGATATTATCATTTGGCATATTGCAAAACTTATGTATAGGATGGTCCATCGCGATTCTTTTGTTCGAGACCACTATAGGTTTAAGCATTTGTAAATATATTTGTAAATATATATTTGTAAATATATTTGTAAATATTTATGAATTTATTTGTTATATATTTATATATAAATCTTTACATACACCTTTACACGTTATGTATAAAAGAAGATTTAAAACATACCAGTTTTTGGCTTATCTTGACTACAGTGACACCCATGTTGAGAAAATAAAGGAACGAAAAAACCTCACAGAGGTCCTTGTGTTAAGAGAAAAAGGCTTTATGATAGAAAAGTTGTGTAAACTAGTAACTTGTTTTAAACAATGATAAGACAGGAAGGAAACAAGTCAAGCAAGTCTAATAAACAAGAAGAAAAATTTGTTTGCAAAAAACCACCAGAGTTTATATTATTTAATGAAGTGAGAAGTTACGTTGCAATTATCAAGCCGTTAAATGTTACAGATACATATGGACCAAACGAGAGGATTTTAAAAATAAAATTGTTTGACTTCCAGATATGGTTAAATGCACTTAGTAACGTGTAAGACAAGTGTTACAATGTGGTAAACTGAAACTTAAATTGTATATTTTATGATCATCATAATTTTGATGGCACATTGTTTGTAAAAGAAGAATTGCAACCTTTGTTCTTCTTTTTTTAAAAAAAATATTTTTGCTAAAAGGCATAGGGTAAAAGCTTTTTCAGTTGATCTCTTTGTGTCCTATGAGAATATGCAGTTTTTCGTAGTCGAAGTAAATGCGCTCGTGAAACCCCTGTATTAAGATGTGCTTTACCGGGTCGAGCACGTTTGAATTTCCCACGACCTGTAACTCTCCATCTATTCCATTATTAGATTAGTAAATTTTACTACAATCGCTACTATCATGCAACAAATTGTTATTATTGATAATCTAAACAAAAATATTACCTTTTTTTGGTTCCAGAGTGACTTTTCATTTTATATTTATATACTGTCTTCAGACGAATAGAGTTATCAAAAGCATTTAATGAAACTTTACCAAAATATGGTAATATTGATGGTCGAATAAAAGATTGATAAACCAAATTAGATTTTTCATTTGGATTATTGAAAACCCTTGGTAAAGATTTGATATTAAAAACTTTTGTTGAACTAAAATTCTTTAAAGTTCCAGAAAACACGGTTTTTGCAAGTCTTCGATTCCCTAAAAATATATGAAATAAAATGGTTCATGAATGTACTTTCTGTTAAATATCAGAGAGATTATATTTATTACCAAGCCCAAGTAAAGTGTTAAAATTAAATAGAGAGTACATTTTTATGATATAAATCACTTTTGTTATCTGTTATTGCAAAACTCTCAAATAGATATAATTAATACGTATCAGATATTAGTGAGGATTCCAATATACCGTTAAATAATGAATTTAATTATATACATTATTGTTAAACTTTCAGCTCGATATAATCTCGATGTAAGCTAGAGATGTTTTTTTTTTTTCTCAGCCACATAACGGGAGTTTTTTAAAATGAGAAAACCTGTATTTTATATATTACTAGTAGCCTAACACGTGCTTCGCCACGTTATTCGTGTAACACTAAATTTAGTAATATAGATATCAGATATAGATTAAACTGCAACATCATGTGAGAGAATCACGATCCGATCATCTGCTTAATAATAATTTAACGTTAAGACAATTCAATAAAATTTTTTAATTACTCGAGTACCTTGCGTTTCCATTATGGACACTACGTTGGACGTTATTTTGGAACGCAAAGAGATCATAGATACTAAACTTGATCCCGCAAACCAGTTAATTCGTGATAATGAACACGAATATGATGTAGTTCCAAAAAACGAAAAGCATAAAAGTGGCAAGGTTCATGAATTTACAGGAACGTCGGCTTCTAAACATATAACTCCTTTGGATAAAATGTTGGCAGCCTGTTGTGGAGCTTTGTTGACATCACTTTTTAGTATGTGTTTTTCCTAACAAACGTATTAATGTTTTTTTTTTTTTTTCTGTTTTTATTGAATCTTTCTGTATTTCAAATATTAAAAATATTAAGCAACACCTTTCGATCTTATCAAAACTCGTTTACAATCCCAGAGTCTTTTCAAAGGTTCGACCGTATTAAATGCAAAATCATATTCTTCCCTCACGTCCTGTTGCCAGGAAGTATTCTATTCTACACAAAATATGCACCCGGGGTTCTTTTGTCACTTAGATCCACGTATACCAAATCAAACTTCAACATTGAGTTGTACCGCTATGATACCTAGTAAAATCGCCACAGGACATCAGCTTAATGGATTCTTGGTGAGCTTCATTTTATCATTATTCTAAATTATCGTTAATTATTCATTATTTTTTTCGTTAATCATTTATTATTTTTTCGTTAATTATTTGTTTAATATTCGATAGGATGGTATTAATAAAATAGTTCGTTACGAAGGAATCACGTCATTATGGCGAGGGCTTTCACCTGGATTGTAAATTTACTCTTTATAATATCTTTAAATCTAAAATAATAGATTTTAACTTCTTTTTTATATATATATATTATTTAGAGTAATGTCTATTCCCTTGACAGTAGTATATTTTGTTGGTTATGATTCTATTAGAGATTCATTATGGAAACATTGGAAAGGGAAATACTCTGAACTTTACTCACCATTATTGGCTGGCACTCTCGCAAGAAGTAAGTTTTAATAATATAGTAAATTTGGTTTAATTTATAATTTTTTATTTTTTTTTTTTAATTAACATTATTATAAACATTCCTATTTTTTTTTATATAGCAATTTCAGTATCTATAATATCACCAATAGAATTACTTAGAACCAGAATGCAAGGTCCAGAAGGTGTAAATGGTTTAAAAGATGTTATGAATGGTGTGCAAAGAATGGTTAGAATAAATGGTATTTCATCATTATGGAGAGGTTTAGAACCTACGTTATGGAGAGATGTTCCATTTTCTGGTATAACACATTTACTGTACTTTTCATATTTTTTTTTTTTCAAATTTATAATAATATAACTTTTATTTCAGCCATATATTGGACAGGTTATGAATCAATAAAACGGAATTTTAGTAATCATCTACGAAATAAAAGCATTGATGGAAATATAAATAATTTTGCAGTTGCTTTTACAAGTGGTGCTACTTCTGGCATGGTAGATTTCTAGATTATATATATATATATAAATATATATTTATATATGATATACATTGATATACTGATGCATTAATATAATTTTTTTTTAGATCGCGGCAACGCTAACAACCCCTTTTGACGTGGCAAAAACTCGACGACAGGTTGCTTCACATTCAAGTAAGCAAATTTATAATCTTTTATTCATTGTTAATTCTTTATATATAATATTTGTAATTACTTTTTATTTAGAGAAAAGTCCTAGCATGAGCCTAATTATGCGGAGGATAGTTCATGAGGAAGGATATCAAGGACTATTTAGAGGTAATTAAACTGTTTAATTTAATTAATTTAATTAATTCAATTATTAAGATATTTATATATATATATATATATTTATTTATTTATTTAATTCCATAGGTGGAGCTCTGCGAATAGCCAAAGTTGCAGTAAGCTGTGCCCTTATGATATCAACTTATGAGTCACTATACAAAATTCTTTAACGATGTAAATATAATTGACATACTGAAAAGTTGTTTTATTATATAAAGTTATATTTTTTGGCCTATAAAATTATGCAAATAATTTAAAGGCCTTTACCATATAAAATTTTTTGTGTTAAATTCGAATTTTATAATGTTTATTGCAGTATTGTATAAAAATTATGACTGATGTTACATTGATTGGTACGATAAATTCACACGTGATATGATGACGAATCTGCTTGCATATAAAACCTCTTTTCGACATTCGTTTTATTATTACTTGCTATCGTAATTACGTAACTTAGCAAGATATTCATATCGATAAATCCTCTTTATTTTGAACGCTCGCACGTGTACGTTGACATAATGACCTCTCATTTACTTGAACAACCACAAATACCAAAAGTCGGTTTCAATTTCGACAATTATCGAAGGTCTGTTTAGCAAATATAAGCATTGAAATTTTTGAAATCGTTGACTATAAAATCTTGGTAATTAATATTGAACTCTTTTTTTTTTTTTTTTTTACTGTAGAAACGCTTTTCTCGAAAAAAAAGGTCTCACTTTGCCCAAAGCGACCAAAACAGGAACCACGATTATTGGAGTACATTTCAAGGTTATTCTTTGAACATAAATTTTAGATCAACCAATTAATTTTAGCTCATTTAATAATAAAGAATCAATTTTGTAATATTCTTGAATATGTTTTTTTTTTTCAGGATGGAATCGTACTTGGAGCGGATACACGTTCAACTAATAACGATGTCGTAGCAAATAAGAATTGTGAAAAAATTCATTATCTTGCACCAAATATGTATTGTGGTGGAGCCGGTACAGCAGCTGATCTTGAATTTACTACAGCTTTGATCAGTTCTCAATTGGAATTGCATCGTTTATCTACCGGAAGGGAAGCTCGTGTTCAAACAGCAGTGATAATGGCGAAACAAAAGCTTTTTAGGTCTGCCTTCATAATCTACATATATATATATATATATTTATTTATTTATTTATTTTCTATATGATTTCTCATATAATTTCATATTCTCTTCTTTTATAATTACAATTATATGCATAAATTCATATATATATATATAATATTAATTCATAATTCACATTCACATGAATGTTCACATTAACAATTCATATTCACATTAATATTCATATATGCAGGTATCAAGGTCATATTGGGGCAGCACTGATAGTTGGTGGCTTCGATGTAACTGGACCTTCTCTGCACAACATACATCCTCATGGAAGCAGTGACAGATTACAATTCGTGGCTATGGGTAGTGGTTCATTAGCCGCAATGGCTATACTTGAAAGTAGATGGACTAAGAACATGGAGGTTTGATTTTTGATTTTTGATTACTATATATATTAATAGATATATATATATATAACAAAAATATATATAACATTATGTTATATAATTATTAGCGAGATGATGCTATTGAATTAGCTAAAGATGCCATCGAAGCCGGTATTTTTAATGATCTTGGATCAGGTTCAAATGTAGATCTTTGTATAATCGAGAAAGATAAAATAGAAATGTTAAGAAATTATTCTAAACCCAATGAACGAGTAGAAAGAGAGAAAAGTTATAAATATAAGAGAGGAACAACTGGTAAAAAAATTTTTTAATATTATTATTTAATAATTTTTGGTTAAAAATTTTTTTTTTTAACAATTTTTTATTTTTATTTTTATTTTTATATATTATATAGCATATCTCAAAGAATCTATTAGAGACTTTATCGTTACGGAAGGTGAAGCTA